GTACATTATATTTATATTGACTGATTCGCAATCATTATCTCGTCTTGACCATTTATTAGGTTAAACAGGGTTAAAATACTTTATTTTGAAAAAGTTTAACAATTTGCTTTGTAACTTTCACTTAAAACTATAGACATTCACATTTTGTTGAACATTACATCATTTTGGTATCATCTGTACAGTATTCATTATGAAGGTATCTTTTATAATTTATGCGCTGATTGCACCAAATATCTGTGGTTGTTTGAACTTTTCTAGGCTATAGACTCTTTTCACAAATTGACTCAGGCCCACAATTTGAAATTGTTATAACTTCCTGTTACTCAATATAATGCAATGCTAATCCAACTATGTATACTGTCTGCAGTGTACTCGCATCAATTCTTACTGCACATACTCAAAGAATATTTATTTCTTAAAACTCCTCTTAATTTTAAGCAATATTTAATTTATTTTCTCAGTTTTTAAATATTATGTAATAACTAATAATACAGGCAGAGGTTTTGAATTAATCTTTTACATTTTTTTAAATTTCTTTTCATAAGATTTTCCAGTAATTTTATACAAATGCCATACTTTTATACTACTCAGAATTTATAATTCTTAATCAATATCTAAATGAAACAAGTGTTAAAGATTATTGTGTTCTTTTTAATTTGCGTCATGCGTGATGACCCGTCCGATTAGGAAATGTAAAATTAGGTCATTTGGTGTGTAACTTTGTTGTCACGTTGTTGTATTAAAGTCATCACTTGAGTGTAGCACAGCAGCTGAGCTCGCCACGCACCGTGACCGACACTCATGACACCCACGACACTGCATCTGTCGCTCCCATCATTGTGAATGATAAGTGCTACAAAAAGTGGATAACTCGAGAACCGTGTAACAAGTGTGTGTGTTCGTGCGAGTTCTAACATTTTCATGGATTCATGATTATGTCGGATGTCAGATCCCATCCATCAGACTGGTAATTAGGTACATATTTGTAGCATATTTTCTACCTCTATTATGACTGTATTATCAATACTATCATTGCAAATGATTTAAAATTGTTTTAATACCTGTAACATATACATAAGTTTGTACTGAGTGTTGTTTATAATTGTTATAAACATAAATGGTAGAGTAAAACTCATGTAGCATGAAGACGGCTAGCACTAGTTTGTGCAAAATTTACTAATTTATTGTAGTTGTTACAATTATCATAGACTTGAGCGTATCCAGTATTTGAAACGCTTCATTTTCTTTATATGTCGATACCTGCATTTAATCATGTAGGCTTCTTTGTCGCTAACTCATTTGTGACTTTTAAGAGGTAAATGTTAGTTGATTAGATTGTGAAAACAAAATTGTTTACTAATTTTTAGATTGTATGCATCTTTAGAATGGTTACATTTTTTTAAAAGTAAGTTAATGTTGTGTATTTAAAAATCTATGTACATATTTAAATTGTTGTAAATAAATAGTCTATCTCAAATATTACTTAAATAAGTAACTTTTAGTTAATATGAATAAAGCAATGTCTCTCATACAATATCTTACTAGGTTGACATTGTAGAAATAACTGTGTAATACACTTAAAAGTTGGATCATGAGGCACTGCAGTGGTGCTCTAAGTTTGCAATAATTATACCCAGACCAAAGAAAGAAATTGTGTGTTAATACATTTCCTATTCTTGTGCTGTTCGGTGCCAACTTAAATATAAATCGTATAATTATGGTAAAGTTCAGATATGTGTGTAAACCACTGTTTCCCTAGTATATTTTGTGTCGGTGCTTGTTATATAAATAATGGTCGAGATTAATATTTGGAGATATTATTAAAAGTATAAAAGTAAAATATAATCCGCCATTTATTTTATTGGGTTTTCTATACATACCTCAACGTAACAGACTCAAAGTAAGGCATTAGTTCCTTATACCTAGACTAGTTACCAGTAATCAGTTGATGCGCAATCTAGATGTTACTATGAGCGCTGCTTTTATAACGCAATCAAAGCGCCTTTGGTTGGTTAACAACTATACTTGGGTATAGTAATCGTACCACCGAACGCCACAAATGAGAGGATCCGTTAAAGTACGTTACCTAAAGTAAACGTACTAGGTCGGTCTTCTGTATGCCTGATTGGAGTTTGAATTACAGACCTACGTTAACGCGGTCGGTACATTACCGCGTTTACCTCTGATTAGTTGGTTTACTTGGATTAAGCCATAAGCCAATCAGCGCCGAACGTTATAAAAATATTGACTGCTTTAATCTAAAGCAAACTAAGCTCTTAAGTAAGGTGCATTTTATTGGAAGCGCGGCGCGGCTAAGTCGCATAACCGATCTTAATGAAGACTGAACAGTACCTATCATAATAAAATTACTTCTTTTGTTATATTGAACTGCACATAATCCCTTTTTATGTGCAATGGGCATTGAACAATTTTTTCGACCCTCATTTTTTATTTAAGATTTCGATAATATAGAGCATTCTAAGAAACTAATTTGAATAATTATTATTTTTATGGAGTCGTTCTATTTTTATAAATTATTTAAAATTAGGAGTAACTTTCTTACGGTGACGTCATCATTTGGCTGTATAATTCACGTATCTGTGGCCTTTCAATTAAAAAATTTCTTTGACGTTAGAGAAATGTCAAAAAAAAAATTTGTCTGGACTATTTTTTGAGTCATTTTTACATGTCGGAATGAAGCACTTCCTATATTCCATAGTTTTTTGGTGGTAATTTCGCTAGACGCTAAATAGAATAATCGAATGTTTTTAGAGGTTATGTTTATTGTTTATATATCTTGACACTTTTGACAGTTGTAAACTGTCGTGTAAGTGTGTGTGAGCGTGTGTATTATATTTGATGGCAAAGGAATTCTCCCTTTAGAGCCAAACGATGACGTCACTAGAGGTCAAATAAAGGTTATTTACTTTTAGCGATAAATAACAATAATCCGTGAATATTTTACTATTTTAAACGCTAAATTGTCATGAGTGACCCTATTCCTCGAAACGGATTTCATATTTACTCATTAAAAAAAAAAATGAACAATCCCCATTAGAAAGGTATTTTGGTGGATCAATAAAAGGATTTGTAGGTACCTATATAAAATTACATATCCCAAATAAATTAGTTATTGTATCCTTAGTGAAATGCAACGCAATGTAGGTACTCTTGGTTTCATTTTGATCACTAGAACATTCGAAAGATTAAGAACAAAATAGGGAATCTATTCATCCTCAATGGCCCTTGACTCTGCCATGCTGCTCGTTGACTTCTTCTACAATTATGAGATAGGTAAAGTAACTTCGAAAAATCAAGGGAACATCATTCTGGCGCTAGGATTGTTTATTATAAAAATTATTAACGCATAAATAATAAGATTATTCTAGCAATATCCTACACATCACTAATAAAACTAGCAAGACCTACCAGTTCCCCCAAATGGATACAAAGGTAAACTGAGGCCCATCCACAATAGGATAATTTGACACAAGTTTTTCTTGGTAGCAGTAGATAACGCCAATAATCTCCATAGATTTTATTTCATAGATAAAAGGTTAGCAACCAGCCAGAGCTTCGTCCTGGTACTGTTAATGGTGAATGTGTTGAATTCTTCGTATCATACAATTCTAACCCTAACACGATAAAAATGTAGCTGCACAATTTAGTCAAGTAGTTCCAGAGTTATATATCTATGATTACATATATTTCAGCAATTCATTTTATTTGTAAATAATACTACTGTTTGATGACTGCCACATAGCCTATGAACACTAGTAAACTGAGAACAAGAAGCTGACTGATTTGTCTTTAGTAACAACTCACAAGACCATACTCATATTATGTATCTTAGTAGAAATCTTCATTTCAGAAACATTTATGAATTATTAAACAGTTTAATTTTCATTACCTTAACAACTATATGCATACTAAAACTACGCACTACTTTCCTAGCTACAGTTACATTGCACTCCATATGTATAAATGTAAAGAAATTGTACAATGAAATAACGTTGACCAATTTATTCATATATTAAAACTTTATCCATCATAGATCTACATAATATTTTGTAAGTATATGCTTTCTGTGGAGAGGTTTTGAAAAAGACAATTTATGACAGTGTTATGTATTTGATTTATTTATTTTTGCTAGTTATACATTGGTAAAAATATTTAATGCTATGAAACAATTTGACTTAGCATTTGGTTTGTAACATTAAATTCATGCATAACAGATGCATGGGAACTGAATTATTAATTATGTAGTTCCCAAATTGACAAGCTACTTGATAGTTTGTAGCCATTAGATTGCATTACATGCATTAGTAATGTGTTTGAGGGAAACATTTAACCTGATGCAAAGCTGAAAATGAACCAGTGGTACTTTATCTTAAGTTCCTAAGAAATAAAAATTTCCTACATTATTTTACACTTGATCAAGTTAAACTATAAAAAAATTAAGCATCATTTTCGGTCACATGAAATCAGTAATAACTAATTACATAGAAATAAATCCTTTACATTTTAAACACAGATACACAGGATTAAAAATACATTATGCCCAGAAATATAACAAAAATGCATATATTCCACAAGAGGTCACAAGTAAACAATTAGTTGTAGGTATTATATGTATAGCTTGGACATAAGAACACTTATCTAAATCAAGACATCAGTAAAACTAGCCTTAATAATACCAAAAGCAAGTTTAACTTTTTAAAGGCCACAATAATTTAGGTAATATGATAAATAAATGGGTGTTACCCTTTATGTGGGTAATTCAAGAGCTGTGTAAACTGAATTCTTACATATTCACCCAATCTACAATTATAAAACCAAAGTAACCTTGCACTTAGCACAAAAGACTGACTCAGAGCACAATAAATGCAATTATACAAGTCTAAGATACACACTAGCATAGTATTACTTAAATTGAAGTCAAAATTAATTTTCATTGCTTAATATTTAGTAAATCAAATATATAAGTGAAAAACCATATTACAGCATTGTGAGAATTCAAAGTGAAAAACAGGTAGATTGGGTCTATTGAGAAAACTTTCGAAATAGTAACTAGAAAGTGCTTCCCTCTGGCGGCTGTGACAGCTTCATGTTTTCCTTCAATGTCATGAGACGTCTCAGTTCCTGCAGAACTGTCTTGATAGTGTAATCACGTTCCCATCTAGCAAGGATTGGAACTTGTCTATTATCAACCTGCACCAAAAGATTATATTATCTAATAGTACATACATATTTGTTTATACACAACAATAATATTTGGTACTTACAAGTCCAGTCTGACTGTTTACACAGTTCATGTTGATTCTAGAAATAAAGCGAGCAGTTGGCGGTGCATCGGGGTATCTGGTACCACACTCAATTTTAAGTGAATACATCCTATTTTCATAAGGCGTCTGGAAAATTACATGTGGATTAAAAAATGAACATCTTATGATCAATAAATTTTGAAATTACTTTGCAATGTAGCTAGATATTTTACCCTAGGAGGGCCAATTATCATCCCAGTCCAGTGAGTAAGGGTCATGTCATCATCGCTCTCGAGGCCCCATGATATGGTTCCATCGCCCACTCCCTTTTGGCCTTGTTCAAGTTCTTCTAGCAGACGAAAGTTTCGAGGAACCACTGCCCAAAAATTATTAAATTAGAAAAATTTAAAAACATAAACGTTGAAAACATAAACTCGATGAAAAATAAATACCACAAAATGTAAAACATTGAAATAAATAAAACAAAATCTTACCAACGCCTGATGACGGATTCGCCATGATCACAATTTCACCGGCGCGCACTACCTAGCGAAAAAACTGTAGTTTAAGATTTAGTAAACAGGCATTTACCGTACAAATTTTGTACTTGCTTTTCGCTACAAAGCATCCAGTAATTAATAATTATATTGAATCACGAAATTTATTCCCATTTAATCCTCAGTTTTTCCACTCAAAGAGAAAAAAAGGAAGGTTAGCAATTTTTTGTTGACTTTGACAAATGTCATTGGTCTGTACTCTATGGACAAATAGATTTTCAGTTTACCACTAGCGGAATGAATGTCTTGAATTGTCTTGCTTATATTTTAAATTTGCTCAGAGCAGGTAGGCTCCGGCAGGCAAATTATAATTTTGTTTTGAAATTTAAATGTTTCATGTCTTTCATTTCAGTTCTTCAAGATAACTTAAGAATAAGTTTATATATAGTATATTATTTAAATAGGGCAAGACAAGACAGCATGACACAACACAATAATATTTTAAAGAATAAAATCGAAATAAAAGTTTTGAAACATGATAACTTTAACCAACCGTATAAGTTGATAAAATAAAAGAAGCCATGCATATTAATTTCTCTTTTGTACAAATGAGAGTTTCTTTAATATGGTTAGAAATTAATTCGTGTCGAGGTTCGCCGTCTTAGGATATAGGATATCATAATATAATAATTTGATTTTTTTTATGACACCACAGACTGTAACCTTCGATGTCTAATGATGTCTTAAGCTGGTAACATGTTGTGCAATTCAATTCCTTAATAGTTGTACAAAGTTGTAAGTCTCGTAACAGCCAGAATCTCAAAGTAGGCATGAAACTCATTCATTGTCATGTCATATGTTACTTTTTTTTAATGGTAACATTATCAGAACGTCATTCATTTTTAAAATTGACGTTTTAATAACCTCAAATTTTGATTCAATATTGTTCGTTGCATTTATGAATAAAAACATATTAGCATAACTTTCACTTATTCAAAGTTCTTCATGTATAACTGTTTTCCATGACGCTGCAACTACTACTACTATTACCAACTGAAAATTGTTCACATTATTTCAGTTTTCGTCGCCATTGTACGTTCTTACGTAGCGAATACCGTTATACGGAGTGGGGATTGCGACGCGCGAGGGGGGTAGTACGTATCAGCGCCGTTGGAGCGCGAGTTCACTCTGTCACTCGGTCATTACGGTATTTCTATACAGCGCGTCCTACATTCGCGATCGTGAAAGAAAGAATGACAATGCCCGAAAAAACACAATTTCAGCGTCTTCCTCGATCCGTGGTTCCTAAACATTATGATTTGGAATTAATTCCGAACCTTGGGAAATTCACATTCACGGGAAAAACAGCAGTGAAAGTTTCGGTAAGTGGAAATTTCAACATTGACGATGCAAAAAATTGTTTCCATGTGTCTCAATAATCAGACCCCGCACATTTCCTTTTAGGTCTTGAGATCAACTAGTGAAATAGTGCTGAATTGTTTGGATTTAGAGCTTAACAATGTCAAACTGCAATATGAAGGTGGTTCAGAGCCCATCACCCCAATCGAAGTTCGGCTTAACACTGCAGACGAAACTGCGACAATTTTATTTGACCGCCCACTTGAGGAAGGAGAGGCGACGCTGCATTGCGAGTTTAAAGGCGAGATCAACGACAAAATGAAGGGCCTCTACCGCAGCAAGTACCTGACCCCTAGTGGCGAAGAGCGTTATGCGGCTGTCACGCAGTTTGAAGCCACAGATGCTCGTCGCTGTTTTCCCTGCTGGGACGAACCTGCCATTAAAGCTACATTTGACATTACTCTCGAAGTACCTGCTGACCGAGTAGCTTTATCCAATATGCCTGTCAAAGAAGAGAAACTAAAGGGAGAGCTCAAGAGAATTCATTACGACACTACTCCTATAATGTCCACTTACCTTGTAGCTTTTGTTGTGGGTGAATATGACTATGTGGAGAAAAAGTCACGTGATGGTGTTTTAGTGAGAGTGTATACACCAGTAGGTAAGAGCAAACAGGGTTTGTTTGCTCTGGAAGTGGCTGCAAGAGTACTCCCTTATTATAAGGAGTATTTCGATATAGCCTATCCTTTGCCAAAGATTGACTTGATTGCTATAGCTGATTTCTCTGCTGGTGCTATGGAGAATTGGGGCTTAGTGACATACAGAGAGACTTGCTTGCTAGTGGATGAAGAACACACTTCAGCTGTAAGGAGACAGTGGATAGCTTTAGTAGTGGGCCATGAGCTGGCTCACCAGTGGTTTGGCAACCTGGTCACCATGGAGTGGTGGACACATCTTTGGTTAAATGAAGGTTATGCATCATTTGTGGAATTCCTCTGTGTCAATCATCTGTTCCCTGAATATGATATTTGGACTCAATTTGTTACAGAAAATTATATCAGGTATAAAATCATATTTAACTAAACATAGTAACTCTTATTTAGTTAGTGATTAGAAAGTGTAAAGATTTGTATATACCGACCTAATGAACAAACAATATACTTGTTAAGGTTTTATCATTTCATTGTGAGTATGTTTATCAGTTGGTTTGTTGGATTGTTGCCAGCAATGTAAACTGTAAAGTCATTCACCCTTTAAACAGAAGACAACAATAGAATTTGTTTAATCATGCACAGCATATTACCTCTCATTCATATTTATGATAAAGGTTTTGACATGACAGTTGATGCCAATTTACTTCCATAATTTCAGAGCATTAGAATTGGATTGTTTGAAAAACTCCCATCCCATAGAAGTTCCTGTAGGGCATCCATCAGAGATTGATGAAATATTTGATGACATATCATACAACAAGGGTGCATCTGTAATCCGCATGCTTCATAAATACATAGGGGATGATGACTTCCGTAAAGGCATGAACATTTATCTCACAAGACATCAGGTAAATTATTCAGGTTTCCATTTCTATTTAACATAAAAGTGTCAAAGTTGTTCAATAAAAAAAGTGTAAATGTGATATCATTCATAATATACAAATATAATAAATAATATAGTTGGGATCCAGTCTTCATTGTGTAGCAATTCTGATAAGAATATTATGTTCAGATTAACATGATATATACTTTTGTGCCTGTAATAGAATTATACTAATTGTGGTTATAATGTTATCAACTTTTACAACCATTTACAAAATATAAAACCAAACATGGAGGTGGTCATTGTAAAATGTTCAGTGATCACAGCCTAATATTAATTGTTGAACTTCATATTATTATTCCAAAAACTAATATTAACATTACTTAATAAATTTTGTGTCAGATTAATTGATCACAGACTTAATACTTTCAGTACAAAAATACATTCACTGAGGATTTATGGGCTGCTTTGGAAGAGGCTTCTAATAAACCCGTTGGAGCTGTTATGTCTACATGGACCAAACAAATGGGATTCCCTGTAGTAGAGGTTAGTAATATTATATTGAAAGTAAAAGTAAAGTAAAGGTGGCATACACAACAACAACACCAACATATGCTAACAACTTCAATAACTTAAATACTGACTGCTATATTTTAGGTGAGCTCAGAACAAATAGGCTCTGACAGAGTTCTAAAGCTGACACAGCAGAAATTCTGTGCTGATGGCAGTCAAGGTGGGGATACACTTTGGATGGTGCCAATTACAATCTCAACACAGGAGCAACCTTCTAAGGTAAGAATTTTAAATAACAATAAGATCATTGGAGAACCCCCATTGATAACAGCATCAATAGGAGTCATAACCAACGTCAATTTATTCTCAATTTTATTGTAACTTTGACCTACATTATTTACATTTAATATGAAACAACAAATTTGTGACGACGCACATTGAAGATCAAAAATAAAATTAGCTTGCCTGGTCTCTGTGCCATAAAGTTTTATTTTGTTCTCATATAATTTAAGTCTTTTTTTAAACTGTTTCCAGAACTCATATTTTTTGTTATATTTCAGGTAGCACTTTCCACTGTGTTAGAAAAGAGGCAACAAGAAGTTGTCTTGAAAGATGTAGCAGAATCTTCTTGGGTTAAACTTAACCCTGGTACAGTAAGTATTAAAAGTGAAATTAAGAGTATTCACATGTTGTAGCAAAAAAGCGAGAAACTAACTTTTTGTATTTATCTCTAGGTGGGATACTATAGAACTCGCTACCCAGCCTCAATGCTGGCGCAGTTGGTAACAGCCATCCGCGACGGGTCGCTACCGCCACTTGATCGTCTAGGTCTCCTGGATGACTGCTTCGCCTTAGTGCAGGCTGGCCATACGCCGACCGCCGAGGTATTAACTATTTATTATAACGAGTTTTAATTTTTTTGTTTAATGTGTATTAAAAGACTCAATGTGATCTTATTTATTTTTCCAGTCTTTGAAACTTATTGAAGCTTTTACTAACGAAACAAACTTCACTGTGTGGTCTTCAATTTCCAATTGCTTGTCAAAACTGAGTGCCTTATTTTCGCATACACCCCTTGACAAGCCCTTAAAGAACTATGGTCGCAAGCTATTTTCGAACATAACTCGACGCTTGGGTTGGGATGCTGAGGAAAAAGAGAGCCATCTTGACACATTGCTCCGAAGTTTGGTTCTCAACAAAATGATCAGCTTTGAAGACCCAGACACTATTAAAGAAGCAAAGAGCCGGTAACTTGATTTATATTTAGTAGTTTTGTACTGAATTTTAGGCATTAAGGCATTTCTCAAAATATTTCTTAGTGTGTATACATACGAGAAGAATTCGAAGATCCTTCTCGTATTTCTTTTTGAATTTGTTACTTATACTGAGATTAACCATTCGATACAGCTTCGAAAAGCACATATCGGGTGCGTGCACTCTGCCGGCGGACCTACGGTCGGCGTGCTACCGCGCGGTGCTCGCCGACGCGGACGAGGCCACGTTCCAGCGTTTCCTGGAGCTGTACCGTGCTGCCGATTTGCATGAGGAAAAGGACCGCATTAGTCGCGCGCTTGGTGCTGTTAATGATCCGACACTGCTGAAAAAAGTCCTCGACTTTGCTATCTCGGTAAAATACTTAAATAATTAAATAAGTTCAACCAAATAAAAACAATTTAACTCTAAATAATGTTTTGGAATTTTTATCACAACAGGATGAAGTGAGGTCTCAAGATACAGTTTTCGTCATAGTTTCGGTGGCGGTCAGTAAAAATGGTCGTGATCTTGCTTGGGAGTTCTTCAAAGACCATTGGCAACAATTTATGGACAGATACCAGGTAACTTATGTCTTCGTAATATAATAATATGACTTCGTCTCATCTACTGCATAAGGCTCGTTTTTAAACTGTTGGAAGATCGATCACTTCAATCGTTCTTCCTCAAGTTAAAAAAGAAACTTTCCATTCCTTAGGGAATGATGATGGCAAGTAAAATAGCCACTTTCGTTACCTCTGTTCTGGTCACTCCTAAATTCTTCGCTTTTCTCTTTATCTTCTACATAGTCATTCTTATAGCTCTAATGCCATCATCTCTCCCTTTTACATTCAATCCGTTCTACTGTGGAATGGGGTTGCCCAGTGAGCAAGGTGAGAAAGGTTGTGAAGGCGACCAGTAAGCAATGGTTCAAAATTGCGTCAAAACCATCATCATAATAACCTGCACGTTATGTACTTATTTACTGTGGAAATATGATAATACTATTTGTATTTATACATATAATGAATGTAGTATTTATTCATTTACTAACCATATTTATATATTATATTCTAGTATCTATAATAGGTAAAATATTTCAGTTACATTTTGCAATTGTTTGTCATCTCCAAGTTTGCTTCTTAGTACCTAGCAAGCTCTCACTACACCAACCTAAGGTTGACTATTAAGAACGCCCATGTAATACCATGTTTTATAAAGAATAAATAACTTTAAAGGTTTGGGAGTATCTACACTTTTACCATAACAAACATAATTTCAATAATTACAGGGAGGCTTCTTGCTCGCTCGATTGGTAAAGTCTACTACGGAAAACTTCGCTTCTGAGACGAGTGCGCAAGAGATCGAACAGTTCTTCCGTACTCACCAGTCTCCCGGCACGGAGCGGTCAGTGCAGCAAGCTCTCGAGACCGTGCGACTCAACGCAGCCTGGTTACGCCGGGACCTCGCTTTGACCACGGCATACCTGCAACCCTACCATTGACCGCAACCGGTATATCCCCAGTAACTTACCGATTCTAAGCTATGATGTAGAGTAAAATATAACGTGTCGCCGATAAATACTATTTTTGTTATATTATCAATAGTAAATTATTTTCAGGACCAAATGACACAAGACTGAAAAAACTACAACGAAATCTACAGAAATGTTGCATCTAGCATTATTTATTTCCAATTACGAAATTTAACATTATTATGAATGGCTCAACAATTCAGTGTCCACTATTCGACTGTAGCTAGCTGTAAATTACGAGATAATGACAACTAAATATGCGGCAAAGACTCGCTCTCTCTGGGACCAGTCATTGGCTCTGAATACGCGTGCGTGTATATCTAGTGCGATTAGGAGAGACGTGGTCAGCCTTGCTGTCATTTTTTAAACTTTTTATTTTCCCCATATTTTAGTTGTTCCCATCTTTATCTTTGGTGAAGTATACAGAGACGCGGGGAACGAATGTTTTTCAAAGTTATGTTGGAAATCAGAGCACCTTGAGGTGCTTTCTGGATCTGTATCCCCGCACGGCAGCATGTTGATTGATGTTTTAATATTTGGAAGACTGACGTATCTACTAAAAGTGTCGGTAATCCTCTAAACCGCGTAATCCTCTCTCTACTAAAGCAGAAACTAGTAGACACAGTCGGCATGAGTTTATCATGGAGGCGCTAAGTTTTAGACGCTCATAATCTGTATTATATCGGCGCACCACTTTATGCAGTAAAGAAGAGTTCTCAGTCCTATGCCCTCAGATACCGCTCTTCGTACACGTTCGATCAATTGATTAATAGTGTCAAACCATTGCGCTATGCTTCTTGGTCTGGTGACTCAAAGGTTTTCAATCTGTCTGATTTATCTGCATTCAATATCCTATTTAAGCTTTGCAAAAGTGGTGAGAAAGATTGGATCCGTCTATCTCATACTGACTGGTCATGGGCTATCTTCTTCAATAGGGAGATGAGGATGTACTATGAGAAGTATCTTTCTACATGCTCATCACCAAAGTGTTGCATTATCAAATCTATTATCGTTGTATCAAAATATCGCCTTAAAATATAGTTAACCCTCCCATTGAGTTGAATATTGGAGAAATATCACTTCTTACCCAAATAAACAAAATTTCAGGAATCACCACTTCACGTAATGATCTCTCATAAACAAATTCACGCGTTTTTCTGTGTTATACGGTTGGTTCGAGTTATTGGGAATTGTTGTTAAATTGGTAGTTAACTGTAGTTTTATTAAAGTTAGTAGTAAGCAGTCAGGCAGACCTTTTAAAAAGTTGATTTTATTGTTAATTCGCAAGTTAGTAATTTTGATCGAAACTACAAATTAAAGCTGTGTAGATTTACTATTAACCGATTTTAGTAAGAGTGGTAGCGCATAGAGTAGTTTACATTCAATATTATTTCTAAATAAGCCATTCTTGCATGTACTTGTTTTTTATTACAAAACAATTAAAGTTACAAATATTTATCCTTACCTAATATTGTTTTTTTTTTAATAAAATATTATGTTAAGAGGCTTGTAACACTGGTGTCAATCACCTCGTAAAATATTTATGTTTTCTGTAAAACTTATTTTCCGCCTGGTAGCAAGACCTTTCAGGCTTTTTCCGTGCATTATATTTTGTAAATGTGTATAAATATTATTTAATTTTTGTTGATCATATCGAGTGTTTTACATCGGTGCTGAGTGCAGTTTTGTTTAGTTTCAGTTCTGTAGTGACATAATTCACTAATTGAAGTTTGTGCAATTCTTTCATATTTAAAAATTACATTTTATGAAATGTAATCTATTTAAAGGTATTCTAATGCACATTATTTTACTTCTAACAATCTGCATATAAAGAATTATGTTTTAAGTATTTTAATTTGCCTTGAGTACCTTAAATTGTTGCTTTTGTTAGTAGTAAATAATGGGTGTTAAAATCATTCCTGGTTATTTAATTATTGACATGCAAGCTTAGTCAAAATTGTGATTTTGGGGCTAATACAATATAAAGTTACCATTAGTATCGCATTTGTTGTCATCACTGATTTGTTTTGTAAGACTGTGTTATCGCAATAAATCGTACAAAATATAATCATCTTTTAATAATAACAGTGTCGCAACTTATTAACCCCCGACGCAAAAAGAGGGGTGTTATAAGTTTGACGTGTCTGTCTGTCTGTCTGTCTGTCTGTGGCATCCTGGAGCCTGAACGGGTGAAGCGATTTCAATTTAGTTTTTTTTTTTTTTGTATTAAAGGTGACTTACGTGCGAGTGTTCTTAGACACGTTTGACGAAAATCGGTTAAGCCGTTTAGTTATGTGGGGGTAAGTGGGGAAGGGTAACCGAAGGTCTGCAAATAATTACTCGAGTGGGGTCTCAAATGAAAGCGCACTGAAAGGGAATGTCGTTGATTGTCTGGTCACTATATCTACCTTGACTAAATAGTATTAAAATTTGGTAGTAATATCATTCGTTTTGGAAGAGAAAAGATTTTGCTATTTGCTCTCTAATTACCGAAAAAGCCGGTCGAGATTCATACATGCACTCCATACATGTCAAGAGAAAACTGTTCATATGAAAGCATTTTTTTTTACTTGCAATAAACTGGTGCTTGACTGAGATCCCACCTGATGGTACCTAAGCAGTGATGCAATCGTTGATGGTAAGGCGCACTAGTTTATTAAAGAGCCTATTCACTCTAGCCTTGAAGACACCTAAATTGTATTCGGACGGCTCAGAATACAGAACAAACCAGAATCCGCGTTCACTCATAATTGCATGTCATGTCGTCTAATGTGTCCAAAAACCATACGTCAGACCCCCCGCCAGCCGCACTTCCCACCCGCGTAGTGTTGCCGACAGTGGAACAATTCCCTTAGTTTGGGGTAATTTTTCAAAAGGAGGGTAAGATATTTTGGCTTACGATAAATGGAACAGACTAGTTGTTTATACATTTCATGCAGGTATCATAAAAGTTGACGATTTCTAGCTGTGTTCATTTTAGTTGCACCAAATTTTTGTTACTACCTATACACAACAAATAAAACAAAACTTCAATAAGTACAAAGGTTTTATTGCGTTCTCTTTTGCTAATTAACTTTTTATAATATGTATTGTCTTTTAGACTCGGAACTGATTAGAAGTTGACTTACTTTACTTAGTTCCTGAGATAAGCGCGTTCAAGCAAACAAACTCTTCAGCATTATAATTAGTATAGTTAATAGGAGTTGCTATTTTCTTCAGTCTTTTTAAACCACATTCGTCATAAATATATTGCTCTTCAAAGTGAATTGAGCAAACTATGCTTCGGCTAGATGATTTCCAAAATTTTTTTGTTCGTCGACAGGGAAACTAATATGACAATGGTTCCACAATGGACAAAAATATAACTCACAACAAATAAATAAGTGGGTAAAATTTTCACCAAAAATGACAACACTCACAAAATGGCCGCATCATTTTCATAGAAAAATAAATCGGTAAACAAAAAATAATAATTAATTAAATATACTATTGCAGTCGATGCTTGCAGATGAAATGTAATCTTATCCACTTTTTTCGTAATTCCAGCCTCATTTTTACTCGTAAGAATAACACAAGACGGCATAATGAAATTAAAATTGATACTCGTAAATACGTCACGCACGACATGCCACGTGCCAAAATTGACTGATCGTAGAAATTTCATACTACTCTAGTTATGAGTGGTTTTAGTTGCTTTAGTATGAAGCGCGTTGACGCCTTCTGGTTTGTTCTGTATTCTGAGTCGGACGGAAAGACTGCAGCCGGCAAACTGTTCCAATCATACAACGAATCCAATCCGTTCGGTACTTAGGGCTCCTCTTTGACGAGAATCTCGTCCTTTAAAATACACATGTAACATCTATCAGGTCGAATCAGAAAACTAATAAACATTATGCATAAACTGAAAGACCGCACACGTGGTATATTACGCCATATCCAGCCATGTAAGTATATGATATGTAATCATACAATATGGTAGGTATTTGGGGTGGAGCAGGAAAAACCACACTAGAAGAAGAAGAGCCCAAAGGGCTGTGATCAAAATACTCCTTAAGAAACCATGGCTCTATCCAACAGACTGTTTATCCTTTATGCGCGAATAAAAATCCCTGAAAAGACCAGACTACAATGCACTCACTTTAAAACGTACCTATATTGGAAATCCCAATGCCACGCACGACTTCCCTCTTAAGCATACGACTGCCTACATATCTCCACACGATTGTCTTTCACAACGTACACCACAGATACTCATACGATACTCATACTCAACGACACAAATGAGATGCGACTTTCCTCATGTAGGAATTGGTTAAAAGAACTATCATACTAGGAGACAGTAAATATTTTCACAACACAATTTAAAGTTCAAAGGATGCACACACAGTTGTTCAAAAAACTGCCGTTGGTCGAATCTCCTCAATTTCAGAGCAATCCCCTAACAGCCTCGGCCGGTATTGGGATACTTGGTGTCAACATATCGAGCGAAGTCCAGTTCCGCGGTCATCTAGAGGGGCCAAGTTAGCCACGATAAGATAAGTGTGCTCAATAAACCGAATCAGTATTTCACCCCGTGGCATCGCCTGCTACTTTACAAGGTGCAAGTTCGGCGCCATATGGATATTCCATATCTGTTCTCATCTTTGGGCGGGGCCCCCCAGAGCCAGCGTCTCCCCCTGGACCGCATTTAGCGACGAGCTGTACGAATCGTTGACTGCCCTATTATCAAGGACCGGTTGGACTCTTTGGCACTGCGTAGGGATGTAGCCTCGCTCATGTGTGCTCTATTGCATTTATTCTGAGGAATTGGTTGATCCCCGCCGCATCTTTCCGCCATCGTTCTACGCGAAAACGTCTTCATCCCCATCGCATAGATATAGAACAACTGCGCGATCCACGCGAAACTTTTTGCCCCGCACAGCAAAACTTTGGACTGATTTTCCGGCAGCCACCTTAAGCTGTAGAACGCCAGAAACGATCACTTACCATCAGGTGATCAGAACGCTCGTTTGTCTCCTATTCCTTAAAATATACACAGTCACACACCCACACGCGCACAACACTCGCTCTAATACACACACACAAACACGCGCGCGCGCACGCACGCACGCACGCACGCAAATAAGTATCATACTGAGACTGGTAAACTCAGTTCGAATAAACTTAAAGTTAAGCATCTTCATTATATTTTTTCCTTTTTTACGTTTATATTTTACTTACACTGTCTAGAACAAGTATAATTTTAAGAAGAAGATGCTTCAAATGGTCTCAACTTTATTTTTATGTTGTTTAAATTTATATTTTTTTGTCCATAACAAACACCACATGTCTACATCCCGACCGAACATTTAACTAAAATTTTTACCTAGGTAACCGCAATTCGGTACCCCAAGATACAGGCCTAAACTAGGCGTAGTTTGGGGACCGCTGTTCCAAAAAAAGCAATCTGATACCTACTACATTTAGTTACACCAAATAATTGTAGGTACCTAATAGCAAGGTAATAATATCAACAAGTATTTCAACTTCATAGAAACGGCCGAAACGCGAACTATACCTACGCGCCCGATGTCGGGACGCGCTCGGGACGCAGACAGACGCGGCTGTACCGCAGTGACGAACGGACGGTGTGTTGTGTTTTATTTAGAAATCAGCTCGAGTACATTATTTAATATGACGAATAGGAAATATTGTGCTGTTATTATGTTTGGTTGCATGAATTCGTCAATAACGCATCCAGACATAAGTTTTTTTTAAATTACCTGGAAACTCTGAAAGGTAAGACTATAAAATAATTTTACTTACTAGTAGCCTAGGTAGGTACATAATGTGTGTCTTTATGGATCATTATTTCCAGTTATCTCACGAAAACAGATGTTTGAATTTATAAATAATATGAATAAAGTTATTGAGACGAGTGAAATAGGTAGTTATAGGCGGTTCTGGTTCTGAATGAATCATGATACGTTAGGTACCTACCTACTTACGCTTGTATTAAAACGGTTCATGTATGTTTTGTTAGTTTGTATAATTCAAAGTAGAGAGTGTGGTATTTTATTATAAATAATATTTGTTTATTATTTGCGTTTATGTAATATTTTGATGTTTGAGGGTTGTGTATTATTTTTTAACAATGACATTATCACCTATTGTGACATTTTTATTTTAATTTGACATTTTTTATTTTATTTATTATTTGTATAATTATTCATTGACATTATTATTATTTTCTATTATTGTTAGTGTAAGGACCGTGTGAGACTTGCCGCGCTTTTGGACTACCAGTTATCTGCGTTCTGACAGTTTGAGTACTTGCGTGACCCAACCAAATGTTCTTTAGATCGGTATTGTTCGTCGGACAACTCAGCAGCACTTGCTATGCTGGTTGCAAACTGACACTTGCGTGCCTGTCTTCAGAACGGGTCCGCTTAAACTGGTGTGGTTCTTTCATCAAAAGACCACTACAGAATGAACTTGCACGGTTCTCTCACATTATGCTATTTTTACATTGTCTGGACTTGAAAAGAGACTGACCTCTGAGTTTGTTTCGGCATTTCTTCTCAGAGTAGTCAGATAGGAAATGCCGGCTTCATCTAGTTTTTTACATATAAATTGACGTGTAAAAGTGCCGTTTTATGGCCTATTTGCAAAAATAAATTCATTGTTTCATTGTGATTTTAGAACATTCGTAGTCAGCTGTTCAGTTCGGCATTAGTGGCCAAAGAAATTTTGTTTGTTTATTTTTAAAGCACTTTATTTGTTTATATAAAAAAAAGGATATTTACAATCACAAAACTAAATGGAAACAGAAAGTAGACAAAGGTAATTAAAATACTGGAGACGAGCAGCCCTAACGCATGTTTACGTACCGCGCGGCTGTAGGTATTTATTTCTTTCAAGCGGCCGAGTTACAATACTGTATGATATTTATACTGTGCTAATAGTAACTATCTGTGGATTAATCATATGTGTAGGTAACTGTGGATTAATATTGTTTGATTCCATTCACGGGACTACGGGGTCCTGGAATTTTGGAAGGCGTACGAGGGGCCGAAGCCAACTCGC